TCTGTTTTTAGCCCTACCCTACATAAAACCTTCCCTTACGTCACAAAGACCTTCTTGTAACTTCCTCTTCTCTGTGTAGTGATATAGCTAGTGCAGAACTAAGAAAATCCAGTCCTCATGTGATCCAGGTTCCCCCTTCTATTCATGGAAAACAAGTGTTTGGTTTTTTTCTATTTAACCCTCTGCTGCCTTCTTCCTCCCTACCCTCTTCCAAGCTGAAAGATATTAGCAACTGTCTCATCATTGTCCAAAAACCTCAGTGACCCACGCTTCTCATCTGGCTGAGACTTGCATTGCCCTCTCCGAGGCAGCCACATTCTGCCTTGCCGGCTCTTCTGTAGAACCACATGGATGGGATGGGTGGTGACCAAGAGGGAAGGGAAGGTACAGCCCATGCATGTGTTCCAGTCTTATTGCTTTAACCTGATAGAAGTTTCCCTGTAAAGAAGACTCATCTTCTCAGATGAATCATATTCTGTCCTTCACCATGAAAAATATGCTTTTGTTTTGATAGGTTTTTCACTATGTCATCCTCTTAGCTTGAAAACTGCGGAAAGGATAAAGCGCTCTGCTGTATACGTAATTCTCCCTCTAGGTCACTGTTACCCATGGGTCCCCCAAAATGCTTACGGATTCCTGTTTCCTTGCCTTTGCTCAAGATGGTCCTCTGGCGAAAGGTCTGTGTTGATCTTGGGATGACCAATGCCTGGCCCAGGACTTGGCACATATTTGGGACTTGGAATTACTTATTAAATAATGAAAGTGTAAACATAAGAGACATCTGAAAACCAACTTTATGTCTTTCATAGTTTGACCTGAAGTGGACCCCATAAAAGTGATTCAACCAGGTCAAGTAGTAGAGGTGCCAATGGGGACAGTCTGACTTTTCTTTGATGCTAATTACATACATTGTTTTCTCCCTTCAAGGTTTTAGTGCTTCTGTATTTAATGTACAAATGTTTCCTTTTCCCCCTAAAAATACATTCTTAAATCTCTCTTACAACAGATGGCATTCTAAAATCAAGGAAGTGAGTGACACACATGGTCTCCTTCATGGGTCCATCAGGGTCTGTGGCTGCACAGATTACATCTACCCAGACAATCCATCAACTCTAGCCCCTCCTAAGGCACTCTGCTCTCCTCAATGTCCCCTTGCTTTGTGGTGCATTATCACACAAAATGGTAGAGTCAGCAAATATAACTCTGCTGGATAGGAGATTAGCAATGTACATGGAAGACAGCCTCATAAAGAATCAAGGACAAGAAATATCTGTGTGGTAAAGTAGTCTCATGGAAGCCATTAGCCTGCTCTCCCACAGATCCCTTAGTCTACAGGCTAGCCTGTGATTTGCCACAGCTGGGCTCTTCTATTATAAATGTCAAGTCTGATCTCGTCTCTGAAATCATAGTCTTACTTCCGCTTTCTCCCTTCTTTGGAAATCATCTTAAAAGAGCACTTGTCTTGTGATGCATCTCTGTCCTCACCCCCGCAGTATCATCCAGAGATGAACTATATATCCTCTTTCATTATGCATTAACATAGGTTGTCAGGTCCTAGCATGATAAAAGATGGTACTACATCTTCCTGAAAAATAACCACATCTTATTATTAGTTGCAAACATCAACCATGCCCAAACACTCCATCCAGTGCCATTTTCTCCCTCCAAACCTGGTGCAGCTTCATTAAAGAGAGTGTGAAGCCAACGATGTTCAGTATGAACAGATGTAGCCCCTTATTGGGTGTTCTTACTCCAGGCAGACTCAGGGTTGTGCTATGTTCTCTTACACTAGAATCTAACCCAAGGTCACAGTCAATGGAAGAAGAGTGCTGGACTAAAGCCTATTTGCATATTTTCTCAAAATACCTCCCCAAACAACCACAATCTATTCACAACTTTAAAAGCTAAATGTAATGGGTATACTGTAGTCACTTTTTATTTCTTCTCAATCACTCTATCTGTACTGAAATGTACACTATAGGAAGGGATGAAAGAAAGGCCCATTGTTGGATCCCAGAGAGGAGGACATCAGTTCACAGAAAAGTAAAGTTGGGTTAACAAGAATTGGGCTATCTCTACTCACTCCTGGCTCCACCTTGACTTCCCCCGCCCCGGGCATGTCTATATTAAGCCCCCTCCAGTCCCCCCCTTACTGTACCTTTAAAACAGAGAGACTAAAATGGACACTGTTTCCTCCCGACTAACCCTAATGTTACAAACACTAATTGGACACCATCAGCTTTGAGTCTTTCAGTAAAAAGCATATGATAAGAAACACATGGTTTACGTGGGTCCTTTTGTTAATCACAAGCCATCAGTGTGAACTGGACAATGGCAGGATGCTCTGTGATGCTGGGGAACCAAGTGGTAAATGGAATTTTAAATAGTGAGTCATTACAACCGTAATTGTGATGTGCAGAAGGCCTGCAAGAATGTGATTCAATCTGGCAGACAATGAAACCCACACTAAGGGACTCTCTGCTTTACTTGCCCAGCAACCCATGACTGTCCAAAGAGGTTTTACAAACCACACTGTGATGATACAGGGAGGTGATATGAGCTAGGTTGGCTGCGGTCACCAGGTTTAAATTCCTCACTTTATAGCCATCTCTCTGCTTCACTGAAACACTTTATAAGAAAGTTGTATGTGTGCATGTGGGGGACAAATGATAAGATACTTAATCCTCTGTAAAATGAAGTATTTCAGTATTTCACCACTGGCCTTATTTCCAGAACATTCTATCCATTTTTGTTATATAAACACAATCGATGCAAAAGTATAATTACTGGGTTGGAAAATAACAAATACCTACAGAATATGCTGAGAACCGTTTAAAAGTATTTGAAGCAACAATGCATACCATTTTCAAGGTATCTGATTCGTTTATTGGCATAGCATAGCTCTCCTATCCACCATTATCAATCAGTTTACTTCTTAAAAAATAACAACTATGGTATGATTTTTCAATGACTCTATTCCATGAACCAACAGGGGAAAAAAAAAAAAGAATGCCAAGAGACTGTTGTCTTTTTTCTTTTTTAACAGAGGTTTGAGAGAACTTCAAGGTAAATCATGTAAGAACCATGTTCAATAAACAAGCACATATATTATAGAGTTACATCATCAGCTGACATGCAAGGAGAAGCCGAAGGTTAATTGCTATGGTTTACTATATCATTCAAAGTAACCTTGTGCAAGAAGATTTAACTTGACAACTGTTTGAACTTTACAGCCTGAAATTTCATCTACTTGTTTCATGAGTACTTTTTAATTACTCCTCTAGAGGTATTAATATTGTTTTCTTTTTAAAATTACTCTCTGAAAGGAACAGTGGTTTCACGTTTTCCCTTTTCTTTAGGATAACCGAGTCCCTGCCTGGCTAGTCCAAGGACACTTTCACTTTCTTTACCTTAAGTAGTAATTAAGGGAGAAAACAAATATCAAGAAAGACCTCTAAGAACTCAGGCTGAGGAATCAGACTGCTTGGTTCAAATCCCAACTCCACCATTTAGCCAGTTGTATAAATGAGCAGATTATCTCACTCCCTATGGCTCAGTTTCCTCATCTGTAAAGTAGGAATAACAATAGTACTGATTTCTTGGAAGATCCATTGGAAGGATTGAAACAGCTAATGTATGCAGGCTGTTACTTCAGCACTTGGCAGGTGGTTAGCACTCAAATAACATTGTTTTACAATATTTTTGTTTAAATACTATTGTGTTTACAATGAGAACAATTTTGGAAATGCTGTGTGTTCTATTATCCCACAGTAAAAAAGGTGGAAATAAAGTAGGAATAATAACAAATTTACTTCATACACAATACCATGCCCCAAGGCCGCAGCACCATTGCCACTGTGCATAGCTCACCAAGGGCACAACTCACTGAGCATTTCACAACTAACAGGGCAAACCGTGGGTGCCATTCAGAATACACAAAAGCAGGGTGGTGCAGCACAGTCTGGTTAGGAGAGGACACACACACACACACACACACACACACACACACACACACACCCCAATTGTCTTATGTTATCTTGTTAAATAGCCAGATACATGTGCTGAGTCTTACAGCATCTTTTATGGCAGGCAGACTAGAAGGCTGCATTAGCGGAAAGCTACAAACACAGAGATTTGCTCCAAAGGAAGAAGGAATATCCGTGAGAGCCACAGAATAAGGCTGGGATAGCATACTCATTTGACTTAAACTGGAGGTGCTGTTGTAGCAGTAACCTCATTAAAGGGGGTGGGTGCGCAAAGGACCCGTGACAGCAAACAGTGGCGGCTAGCTTTGCCATGCCACCAGAGCCACAATCTTAGAATCTGAAAACCTTAAACAAAGCGCTACTCAGTCTTCTCACAGTAGGGTCAATGATGCTTGTTCACACATGCGTGGACACCACTCATGCTGCCTCATCGACTGCCTCCTTTCTGGACCTCTCAAGGCTGCCAGAGGACTGAGCAGCAGGGGTACAGGAGGAAGCCAAGGGTATCCCAGAAAGGGGATGACTGACAGATAACCACCACCTGTGAAACAAGTCTAAATTGCCTCTATCTCTCAGTTCTTCCTTTCAAATTGCCCAGTCCCCAAACTGACGGATATCACAGTTACGAAACACCAAAAATCAGAAATCCTCCTTTCTAATGTCCAAATCTGCCCTAGCTGCTTTCTATCTGGCCTGCCGGCCACAACCACAGGTGGCCTCCCAGAATTAACCCAAGGAGGTTCTCTGCCCTTTTAAAACGTCTTATATGGGTCATTCACCACGGGCCACCTTTAGGGGCAGGAGAGGATTGAGGTCTAAATCTGCCGTGTACCTGGATGCGCATAGGGTTGGGGCGAGGGTGCGGGAGGCGTGACGGGAGACTGAGCACTTGGAGTTCAGCGGCAGGAAACGCCCCGACTCCCAGCCACATGAGGTCGACACCTAAGGGAGGTGTTTCCCGCCGCCTCCAATTGATCCGACCAAACCCCAGCCCGCGGGCATCGCCGAGCTTACCTTGGCCCAGGAGACAGAGTAGGGGACCTGCGGGTCCCGGAGGGCGGTACAAGGCAAGTCCACGTTCTCTGAACAAGCCACCTTCATTTCCCGCGCTGCGGGCGTCAGGCTGCAGGCTACAAGAGGGAGACAGCTGCGTGAGCGAGCGAGGAAGGGGGGTGTCGCGGGGCGGTGGTGGCGGCGGGGAGGGAGGCCGACAGGCAGTCTCGGTACCTACCGCAGCTCAGGAGCAGGAGCTGGAGGCCGCGCGACATGGCTGGGGGGCTACTGGCCTGTGGCGCGCTGGGGCCGCGCCGCGCTCTTGTACCCGCGGGTACAGGGACTTCCCCGGGCGCCGGCCCAGGGGAAACCCCCCCGGCGGCGGAAGCAGGCGGCGAGCCCTCCCAGCACCGGCCGCCACTGGGGCGTCCCCTTCCCCCGCCCGCGGCGCCCGCCCCGCGCGCGTCCCCGCCCCCGCGCACCCTCCCGGGCGCCCCCAAGCTAGCGTCGCCGCTGCCTGGCAGCAGCGACAACCATCCCCGCGTAACGCCCGGCGCTTGGGGCTTTGCAAACCGCGCTCGCACGCGTGACACGGTTCCACTGACCCGCATAGCAGAGCCAGGAGCCATGCCCGCCGAGGCTATTATATCTTTTTTACGGAGGTGAGATCAGATTCAGAGAGGTTGAGCAGCTTCCCCAGTCGCACAGCCTGTAGGGGGTGACGTCACTGGCGAACCCAGGTCCTCAGTCTTTCCAGGTGCTGTGGTAACCAAAAACTCATTCGACTTCCCAAGGAACGTGGCAAGCCTGTAGTTCCTGGCTCCTTGCCTCCTGGCGTGGATTACCACTCAGTATCACCCAGCCTTTTTAAATTATTTCAACAAAGGAGACTGTCTCCTAGTAAAATAGTAATTACACCCAGAGAATTTTGGGGAAAGACAAAAGAAAAATCTAGAAGAAAATAGAAACCACCTATAATCTATCCAGAAGTAATTTATGGTAACATATTTTAGTGTCTTTGCTTCAATGCATGGATAGATATTTTTGTATACATTCAATTTGGCAACCTACTTTATTTTAGTTTAATATTTTGCAACCATTTATACATTATTAAGTTTCCACAGTAACGTTTTAATGGCTGCATAATATTCCATCTTATAGTTGTACCATGAATTAGAACCAATTAGTGTTCAACATTGTTAGTCTAGTGTTTCTAGACTAATAGTGTTAGTGTTAGGTTGTTTAATTATTAATCACTAAGAGGAACTTTCATAGAATAACCTTTGTTCTACAGTGGTTATTTTCTCAGATTGAGTTCCTAGAGGAAATCGTGCTAGGTCAAAGGGAATTTACAGTTTTGTTAAGTAACGCCAAATTATCTCTACTGAGGTGTCCTCAATTTATGTCCCCACCTGCAATGTATGAGAGCACTTGTTTCCCAGAACTCTTGCCAACATAAATTGTTCATCAGACTTCCACCTTTGTCCATTCAAGCAGTTGAAAAGAATGGCGTCACAGTGGTTTTAGCTTACCCTTAGAAGTGATTATACCAATTGATAGTCATACCATATATGTCACCAAGCTAATTTTTTTAAATTAGGATATTTTTAGGCATACACAAATAAGAATAGAAAATAGAATCAAACACATCTGTGTGCAATATATTCTTAATAAAACATCTGTTCCTTGCTAGATTCCATACCTGAGTATTTAAGCTTTCTTCTGATTTTTCACTGTTTTAAACAATGTTGTATGAAGCTGGGGATGTTCAGACTCCCTAGCCCAGCAATCCCACCACGTTATTAGATAGTTTCATCCTGTCTTCCAAAGTGTGTGTCTAAATACGCTCCCTCATCAGGGCTTGGCATCGTCAGATTTTTTTTTTTCATTTTTGACAATATAGCAAGTGGGAAATATTAGTTCACTTTTGTTTAACTTACATGACACTGATTACTAGGAGGGAGGAACATATTTTCCTATGTTTCGAGGCCATTGGATGTCCCTTTGAGGATTGTGTGTTCATATCATTTGGCCTTTTCCTTTGGAGCTGTTTATAAATTCTGGGCCAAATCCTTTCTCGGTTATGTGCATGCCAAATATCTTCTCCAAGCCTAAGTTTGTATTTTTTACTTTGTTTATATTTTTAATGTACAAAGTGATTTCTGTTTAAATATTTTAGTGCAGTCAAATTTATTGATCTTTTTATTTATGGTTTGCGCTTCTGGTGTTGTGTTTAAGAAAACTTTTTCTTCCCTGAGATCATAAAAACATTCTCCTTCATTTTCTTCCAAAACTTTTAAAGTCATGCTTTGTCATATGTAAGTCTTTAATCCATTTAAATATGGTTTGATGTAGGGGTCTAACTTATTTTTTCCATATGGATAACCAATTGTTTCAATGCTGTTTACTAAAAGTTCTTATTTCCCCACTGATTTGAAATAGTATCTTTGTGATATACAAATTTCCATATGTGTGTGGGCCTGTTTCTAGACTCTACTCTGTCTCTCCCTGTGCTAATATCACACCTTCTAATTACTTAATTGAACTATAGTTAAGTCTTGCTATGGTGGTGGAGTGAATGAGCCCTCCTCATATGTTGATCTTCTTCAAAATTGTCCTGGCATTCTTGGTTCTTTGCTCTACTTTATAACATATTAGAATCAACCTGTGAACCTCAAAAACCTCATTTGCATTTTAATAGGAGCATATTCAATTTCTATGAAAAAAATTGATATGAAAAATTTGACAATGAATGGGAGATATTAGTTCCTCTTTGTTTAATTTACATGCGTTGATTACTAGGAGGGAGGAACATGTTTTCATTTATATGAAAAAATTTGCAGAAAATTAGCATTTTAGAAATTGATTCTACGAATGCATCAATATGGACTATCTTTCCATTTGCTTAGATCTTCAAGAATTTTTCAAAGTTCATACATAAAAGTATCTATATCTTTGGGTAGATTTATTCTTAGTACCATAATATTTTTGGTTGCTATTTTCACATATACTGTGTATTTTTCACTCCTATTTTCCTAGCTGCTTATTGCCAGTAAATAAAAATTTACTTTTGTATAGCTGATGACCTTGCCATCCTTTCTTATGAATGTTAACACTGCATTAATGTTGTACCCTGCATTAAGTCACTTTTGTAGTCATGAATTATTCAGAGGGTTTTTCCCACCCCCAAAAATCCAAATATGTGGTTTGGTTTTCATTGTTCCTTTACTTGTCGAGCAATTGAGGATACTCAAGAACATAGTCTGTATATATGATTCTTTGCTGCTTAACAAGAAACGCTTTGCGGCCTCATGTGTGATCTTTTGGTAAATGTGTCACGTGTTCTTGGAAAGAATGTGCATTCTCCACATGGGTCTCTGATTACACTTGCTCGTTGTGTTGTTCAGGTCTATAGCTTTACTAACTTTTGGTCATCTTACATTATTAATTACTGGAAGAAATGTGTTAAAATCCCCCTGTGACTATACAATTGTCCATTTAGCTTTGCAATTTTATCAACTTTTTGCCTCATAGAATAATGCTATGTTTTAGGTGCCTTAAAGTTATAATTATCTCTTCCCAGCAAATTGTTCCTTTTTGTCTTTATTTGGTGACATTTTTTTCCCTAATATTCTATTTTTGCTTCTAATACAACCTTTTCTACTGTAATTAGAACGACACCACTTTATTTGGGCTAGTATTTTTCTGGTATTTTCTATATTTTTACATTCAACAATTTTTTGTCCTTAAGTTCTAACTACGTCTTTTTTTTTTAGCACATAGTTAGATTTTTCTAATTCAATACAACTAATGATCTGTCTTTCTAATTGAGAGTTCAGTTTTACCTTTTTTCTGAATTCTGCTACATTTGAATTTCTTTCATCTTGTTTCATGCTTTATACTTAACCTGATTTTCCTCTAATTCTTTTTTTTTTTAAAGAGTTTATTGGGGAATTGGGGGAGGGGAACAGCGTTGGGGAATTGGGGAAAGGGGAACAGACAAGTTGCTGTCCTTTTGTTCTTCAGTCTAGTTGTGGAGGACATTGTTTCACTGGCCCATGTTGGTATTCTCATTGTGCTCCTCCTGAGTGAGGCAGTCGCTCGCTGGCCATTGGTTAGCCGCTCACGGTGGCTCACGGCAGCTGCCGACAGCTCACACTTGGCTGCCAGCCACTGCCGGTAGTTCACAGCAGCCCATTGCTGCCCCACTGCAGCCTATGCCGTCGCGGCAACTCCTGGCAGCCCAGCTCCAGATCGAGCTGTCGTTCACCATCTTAGCTGTAGAGGGCGCAATGACACTGGCCCTCATGTGGGATCCGAACCGGGGTCCTGCTGCTCAGAGCTGGCGTCCCAAGCCAACTCTTAACCAACGCGCCACTCGGCCGGCTCTATCTGAAGCTCTTCGGATTTTAATATTGATTTTTGTTTTGTTTACAAACTCTTGTTTTTTATGGATCGTTTTTGTGTGTGTTTTGTAATTATTTTTATTGTAAATTAATCGTTAGTTGGGACTTCATATAAGGGACTCCTGAAGGGCCTGGGCAGAGGATGTGGCCTCCCAGAAAGATTTTATGTTTGTTTCAACCAGGTGCCTCAGAGGTATTACCAGTCTGTGACATTTTTATATTAATATTACAAATATTAATATTATAAATATTGTAATATTAATCTCTTGGTACGGTGTGTCCTAGACTACTCTAGTAATATTAATTTAATCATATCCATGTGAGGGTACCTTTATGATGAAGAAGTTTAAGGGGAGGCTTTTAAAGAAACAAAGAAAAACACACAGAAAAACAAGCTTCCTTGTACCCACTGCATGAGTAAGCGATTATTTTTAGTTCATCGTTACACTGGGGAAAAAGGTCTCAGTTCCAACTTTCTCTTCTCCTAGGTCTCAGGCTTCCTCTTGTGTGCCTGCTGTTCAGTAAAGCCTGCTGCTCCTTCATTCCCCTGCGATTCCTAAGCCTGGACAACTGCTTTTACACACACACACACACACACACACACACACACACACACACTTTGTCCATTCAAGCAGTTGAAAAGAATGGCGTCACAGTGGTTTTAGCTTACCCTTAGAAGTGATTATACCAATTGATAGTCATACCATATATGNCACACACACACACACACACACACACACACACCCTGGACCCTTTCTTCTGCCCCCAACCCCAGCAGCCCCGGCATCGACTCATGTAGCTTCATAGCTCTTCCTTCGTTTTGACCCTCCAGATTACTCTCTTGCAGGTACAGCTAGACATTCATTAGGCTTTATGCATTATTTCTAGAATTTTACAAAAGGTAATTTTTTGTCTTACACAGAAAACCATATTGCTGAAAAGAAAAGTACCCAATCTAGTGTTTAATAGCCTAAAAATGTGACTTCACAGAAACTCCCTTTTAACCTACTGAAATATCCAGATATGTTTTCACACTTA